CCCCCCCCCCCATAGCCCTCCCCGGAGTCCCGCTCTCCCTGACAGCTTTGCTGACTGTCTGGTTTCGGCGCTCCGGCAGCTGTTCAGAAACCCGAGTGCATTGCATTGGACTTGTTTTTCTGCAGTGGGAGCAAATGCCAGAGATGACACCCTATAACTCCCCAGGGAGAGTCCCACTCCACTCCTGAAACAAGAGTGGGCTGATCCAAAGAGAAAAACAGCAGCAAGCGAGCGCTGGAGCCCTGGGGAAAGTTGCTGGCTGGGGTTCCTGGGGTTTGGGAGGAGGCCCCCTGCAGCTGCACCCCTCCATGCTTGCACACTTGCCTCCCCCGGGGAAGAATCGGTGTGCCTGCTACTACCCCATCGGATTTTTTGCACATACAAGCAGGGCATGGGAACGAGGTGGCACTCTTCCAAGCTCCAAGCTTGCGAACAGCTGTGGGTTCAGCCCAGGGAGAGTGGGGTCCTTGCTAGCGGAGGCACGTCTTTAATGTCCTGACCCAGATAATGTGCCTGGCAGGGTCCAGTTCTGAGGGCACCAGGCAGTGGAAGTTCCTGGGTAAGCACTGGCACACGCCACCAGACCCCTCACTGGCCCTGCCTGTGTGTCAACAATGCCTTGCGCTTGTGTGTCCACGGCTACAGAGCAAAGACGAAATTCTTCCTCCTCGCCGCTTGCACCTGATAGGGGAACAGGGAAACAGAAGTTCACTTAAACTGCCCCCCCCCCGATTCTGATGTCTAAGTGCAAACAATGTGAGACAAGGTGGCGTTCAAGGAGGACTTCACGCTTGAAAATAAAGCAAGGGGACAGCTAGAATGGGTGTGGCATTTGCAACCCTCAAGTACATTAGGATAGTGTCCCTATGAGGAGAAAACTGCCTCGTTGCAAAACTGTTTATGAACTCCAAGAATGTACTAGTTCAGAGTTTATGGATTTAGACATCCTCCTGTCTATGGCTCCATCCTCTACCATCTCCCCGTCACCCACTTAAACATGCAGTGCTTCAGAAAAGGCTGCAGAGGACATAAAATCTTCTCTAATACATCCATATTTCACAGACAGGACAGCTCCAAGTACTGGGGGAGATTCCACGGTCGGGGCACAAGTAGGGCTACATGAAACCTTCCAGATGAGTCAGCCCTTTGTTCTAGTTGAGGAAAGGGAAGTTTAGAGATGAGAGGGGTTAATGAAGTAGGTCAAAGGGCAAGACTGCCGTTATTAACTCTGTTCCCGGACTGACACAGACCTCTGATAGTTCCCCAGGGGGACTCGTGATGGGCGCAGTTTCAGCCCAGGGTGCTGAGTGGAGTCTGGTGAAGGGAAGACCGCCCTGTGCTTCAGACCTTGTCACCCAGAACAGCTGAGCCACTGGATGGGAAAGAACAGAGAAAGACCTTCTTGCACAATAATGTCTGGTGCAGGTGCTTATAGAGAATTCTCTAGCGCAGCGGAGACTCAGAAAACGATGGTGGAAATGATTGCTGGCCAACGTCATCTAACTCTTACCCTTGCTCCCCAGTGGGGCTAGACAACAGCAAAAAGCAAACCCCACTTCCAAGATCTTATGCCAGCGAGCCAGACTGCAAACCAGGCCATACCCACCTGCTCCCCCACAAGAGAATGCGAGCACAAGCTGCGACAGGCTGGGAGCCATCAGAAGTTGTTAATTAGACATGAAGTGTCGTCATTTGCTCCTTTAACAATCCCATGTCTGAGAGAGTGAAGTGAGACACCAAATAAAAAACTGAAATAAACCCTTACCTCACCATCCATCCAAAAACAAGAGAGAGGGTGATTTTTTTTTTTAATGTTTGTCAGTGGTACATGAATGGGAACACGGACACACATGTCCACACGATGCCACCTCGGTGGGTTGAAAAACCAACTCAAAACTTGCACAGGGAGGTTTATGGCATCTCCGTTCATAATCACCAAAAAGTGGAAGCAGCCAAGATGTGCTCTGGGAAGTGAATGGATGAATAAGCAGGGGTCCACCCAGACAATGGGATTATCATTCAGCACTACAAAGAAATGAGCCATCAAGCCATGAAAAGACATGGAGACCTGTGTGTGTGCTATGGAGTGAAAGAAGCCAGTCTGAAAAGGCTCCCCGCTGCACGATTCCAAGTCTGTGACATCCCGGACCAGGCACAGCTATGGAGACCGTAAAATGATCACTGGTCTCCAAGGGTCGGGGGAAGAAACGGTTAAGAGGAGAAACACAGGGTTGTGCAGGGCTGTGAAACCACTCTGTGGGCTACCGTAATGCTGGATACACATCAGTTATCCAAACCCCTAGAATGCCTAACGCGAGGAGTGAGCCCCGAGGTAAACTGGGGACTTCAGGAGATGGTGACACATCTGCGCACGTCATCCTTAGTCAAAATACTCCAGCTGGTGAGTGATGTGAACAATGTGGGAGGCTGCACACGTGTGGGGACAGGGACATACGACAGCTCTACACGTTCCTCTCAACTTTGCTGAGAACCTAAAACTGCTCCAAAAAATAGAGTCTATTTTAAAAATTGCTATGTCTCGGGACGCCTGGGTGGCTCAGTTGGTTAAGCGACTGCCTTGAGCTCAGGGTCATGATCCTGGAGTCCCGGGATCGAGGGCCATATCAGGCTCCCTGCTCAGCAGGGAGTCTGCTTCTCCCTCTGACCCTCCCACTTCTCATGCTCATTCTCTCTCACACTCTCTCAAATAAATAAACAAAATCTTTTTTAAAAAATTGCTATGTTCCTGCCAGTGCCATACACTTGTCTCCAAACAAGGGGGCTTACATGTCTCATGATGGGGCTGGGACAACATTCCTCCATGGCCACAGCCGGGCTCCATGTAAACAGATGCAAAGTGGGCACCCCAAGTCCCACTGAACCCTACAGCAAGCTTCTATCTCCTTCCGCCCAGGCTATGTTTCTCCACTTTCCTTTCTCCAGACCTTTCCGTTCCTTAGGGCACGCCCCTGAGCTTGAGACCAGGCTTTTAAAACTGCCCATTGGTGTTTCTTATCCTGTATTGAGCCCAGCTGCTGCTCTCAGAGTATCTTATACTCCTCATCCACCTCCTCATCCAATACCAAGACATAAATTATTTGTGTTTTAAAAGTATTATTTTGTGGCTTCAAAATATTTGTGCTTTCTAAAAACCAGATATCCTACAGTCTAGTTCATGGGATCAAACCCATGTTAATTTCCTGGTTTTGATATTTGATAGTCACGTAAAATTTCACCAATAGAGGAAGCTGGGTGAAAGGTTCACGGGACTCTGTGAACTATGTTGTAACTTCTTGTATTTCAAAATAAAAAGTGTTAAGAAAACAAAATATT